CTTCTCATAAATATCATTAGTTTTACGGAATCACATTCGTGCTAGAATTGTTCCTATTCATTTACACTATTAAGTGATATTACTGTAAATCAAATAGAAATATACTTAATCCCTTTTGCTTTTTTGTTGAGGTATGTACTTGAAGTGAATCCTGATTACATGTTTCTTGTTGTATGAAGGTCTTAAGGTCATTATTCTGTGATATAGTATGCTGGTATCAAACCAATGTTTAGACTTTAATCTAGTCTTTAAATTTGGTACATCTACATCTCAATACAACTTTTGATATTGACTCTATTCCCATAACAAGAATCAACAATAGTCAACTTTCTTATGTGTTTTGTTTTAATCACTCTGTACTCATACTTGTTCAGGGTCACTCAGTGAACCCAGTTCGCTATTGAGTATTTTACATTATTCATGTGAATTTTTAGGATTCGCTGAGCGCATATATTTTCCTTTGTGCCATCGGCCCTTTTTTACGGGGCTCTACTTGCCCATTACCGACTTGCCTTACACCTATGTACCATTTTCTAGCCTCATACAACTCTTAGGCGATTAATAATATCTCCAACTCACTAAGCTCTATTTTATGGACTATTAATTGTTCTCCGGGTAGTTCAATCCTTCCCAGTGTTATTCAGCACTTTTTTTTCTTATCTGGCCGTCCAACCATTTTCGCCTTTTCTTTTTTACAGGTTTGATACCTGCGTTCACTGACATGGTATATAATTATTTCTTGTATATATATATATGTTTACATTTTTGGCCTCGAATGCTTGGCTGTGTAGTGCTGAATATTCCTCCGTCCATCCCTCATTTGCTGCTATATTTTGGGCTTAACATTCTCTATCTTTGTACTTATATTTTTAACACTATTTAAGCGGTGCCCAATGCAATAATTGTGTTAAAAAATGCAATCTTTCCATGCATATAATCTACATGTAAAAAGTATCATATTCTTTAAGCCACCTAGAAGTTTCTAATAATAGGATTTCGCTATCCCTAATTTTTCCTTAAACCATTTGACTTCATGTGCAATAAGTGGTTTTATCGTAATCATGTCTGAAGACTGCCCGGATTGATCAACTGATTTATTAACATAAAAGAGTTCCCCTACTTTATGGGCATTTCAGCCAACGATCCGAGATGTTTGCAATAGATGCCTTCTCACATACATTTGTTAAACTATCCTCACTTGAATACTCCTGAGCTCTGTATTCTTTGCCCCATATGACCTACTATCTGATACTACTCTTCCAGACCTTCAAGTGCTGTATTTCGGTCATTCGTCTGAGCATACTCTGATAAATACCTGATACAATAGAGCTCATAATTGCTTTCCATTTTCGGCATCAGATTTTCCTCCTCCGAATTTTGTTTTTTATCCTCATACTTAGTGATGACCTACCTTCGATTTACCTTGCTCTTCTTCATTCCTCTTAGTCTATTGTTCTTTTTTTTGATCTTCCGAGGGAACAGAACCTCTTACATACGTTAGTAGACACGTAAAAGAAATAATCGTGTGATTCCTTATTGGTGTTTCGTGTTGTGTTGATGGAATTCCCCCTTCCATCAAATTGCTTGCTGAATAGCTATTTTAAAAAGCAAATTACTTGATATTCTTGGAGTATAAATATTAGATTTTATAACACAGAGCCTTTCTCTTTGGTAATCCTTTGATGCTGACGCGCTAGATGCAGAGCAAGTATAATGTTGCTGAGTTTTAGAATTGTTAGGTTGTTTCGTTTTATAAATAGATTTTCAACATAGCCAATAGCTCATACCTATGAGATGTTTCGCTTAAGATGATAAAGGGCTGGTAATTGAATTGTTCCCGCAATTATATGAGTGGGCCTTACATTCCAATTAAATTTCACATGGCTTCACTTCCCGAAAGGTCTTCTTATCCAGGATAGATTGTAGATTCGGCCTCACTCCCTGTGGGAATTAAACAATGATAATGCAACCACTAGACCGCACTGCCACGAGCACCATTGGGTTACGGAGCAGTTGTTAATTTTAAGGAAGGCCGGGAATTTTCAATGAATCAAAGTTGTACATGCTATAGCAATCAACTACATTACTCACTTCTCGTTTATAAGTGGATTTTTAAAACTATATATATATATATATATGAGATGTATTCACTCTATTTGATCGAAAATCTCACCCCTGAATGTGATGTGAGAAAAGGCCTGGCCTTCATCGAGATTTTACTCTTCCCCGTCATCCAAGGGCACTCGGTAGTGTGGCATAGTGCGTACACACTGAGATATATTTTGGCATGTTGGGGTAGAAGTAGAGCATGGCTTTGCCTTAAAATGTATTTAGCAGACCGTAGCTATGACTACCAAGGTAGTGTGACTTCTTATTTGGTCGCGGTCTCCTTCAGCTGTATAGTGTTGGTCTTCGCATTTTTTTGTTGCGGCAGGGAGACCTTGTGGACAGCACTTAGTCACGCACCCTCTACCATAGTTTTCGTGAGTTCCAGCATCAGACCATTGACTTGGTATATTCCCAGACGTTTTGCCAGCATCGTTAGTGAGGGGCCCCACCGTTAGCACAGTTACAACTTATCAAATGGTAGGAGCTAGTTCGAATGCATATTATGCAATGTGAAGGAGAATATTTTTAATTGGGAAATATATTCACCATAGGTTGAGTAGGGTGATAAAGGGCTGAAATTTCCATTTTACCGTAACAAAATTAAGCTTTGGTATGGCATTTCAATTCACTTGGCCTTGCCCTCAAAGGATTTCTCATCCAAGTGGACCGCTGTTTCGATCTCGACTGGGCCCCGTCAGCACTCTCAACATGAATTGAATCCGGGAAAAGCAGCACTAAGTCCCGACACCTTGCCACGATCTGACAGGACAGATATAACTTTCAACACGATCCTTATTTAAAATATAGATGGTTTCAAAACCCACTCAATGTGAATTAAATGGAGTTTATTCTAATGGCTTCATCGACAACCTTATAAATATATAAGAAAGGCTTTGCTTGCCTTGAAGGACATGTTTGATCTTGGACTCACTGCCACCCGTGAGTGCGGTGTATTAGTAGCACGTCGAAGGAATATGCTTCAACGCTCAGACGAAATTCCTGTTAGGAGTGTTGATGAGACCCAAACAAGGTTAAGACCGTAGCGCACTCTGAGGATGACACCCTTTGGGGACCAGGGCTAATTGAAATTGCGAAGTCTACTTATAAAATTGGGAAAGTTAACGATCATTTTGTCATCCTCTTATACGACCCGGTGACCAAAATTACTAAACAAGAATAAGTGACGCCCGGAATAGCCTAGCGACGTTTCGGCGGTGTCGAACTTAGAGAGAACGATAAAGCGCAGGTACAAGACTTAATTATGTACCGCGAGCGTTCCCAATATCAATCGAAGGTATGAGGACCAGGATGGTATGGTCTTCTTTCGTCTTATAGAAGTTTTACCTTGGACATATTAGCAGGAAGACCTAGAAGAATGAACCTTGTCATGAGTCCATAATATACATGATAATTTACAGAGTCGGCTGAGAATGTTCCACATCCACAGTCCAACGGGAAATTACCATTCACACTGTGGGCTCCGGACAAGGTGCGTTCATCTAAGTCTTCATGATATTATTACCAAGTTGCGAAGCCATTGTCAAACAACTCCTTTCCAGTAGTATGCCTGCCATTTCTCATTGGTTATCAGATATCCTGAAGGCTATTGAGCGATATTTATCAACCGATTGTGAGATCACGTAGCCAATTAGGCTCCAACTAGAACAAAAGAATTTTCGACAAGCGCCATTACCAAACACACACTAGAGTGAATATGCTACAGACTGAGTAAGATTAACGTAAAAAGCACTGCCTTCCCTGTGAGAAGAGAGACTCGACTTACTATTCGATCAACGAGATAGCTTAAGCACCTAATTAATCATAAATATAGTTTTATTCAACTATTCATATGTCGAACAGTCTTATTTACTTATAGGATATATAGACATGCTTTTGGAACTTGGTCAGGCCTAAAATATCATCTAAATACAAAACCAATCATTTCAGCTCATTACCTTCGACTCGATAACTGTCTAAATAAGATTTTTTAAATACAATACGGTTATGCTAGGGCAGGTACCAAGAAGATGACCCGGCAAATTGCGTTCAATAGAGAGAAATCAAATAAATGAATATAAATCTGACCAGACAGAAGCTCAAAAGAGAGTGCTCAGGCTCCTATTTGGAAATCAGATGTAACTTTGGCCAATCTAAAACATGCCTACTACAATAATAATAAGATATATTTCGAGGTAACATATGAAAGTAGCCTTTGTTTAGTGGTAACATTGCATCAGAAAGGGGTTTTACGAATTATAGGTACTAGCCCAAGGAAGGAAGTGGATATGTAAAATTGGTAGTATACCATATAAGACCGTCACTCGTGTTATATGCCATATTTCTTTGGTTGCACTGACACAACACAAGTAATTAAGTCAGTTATTATGGAGCCTCCGATAAAATACGAAATAAATAAAAAGGGAAATAAAAGCCTACAGTGTGTTCTTGAAAAAAAACATATGAAAATCAATTGTACGAATGCGCTACTTGGGTTCTTGTGATGACCCAAGCCACGATTCGAGTACATCCAGACTATAATTAGGTCCTAGGCATTTTAATCCGCTGATAGGGTCAACAAGTTTACCCGTGGGAAAAACATTTTTTTTGACACGCAGAACAGTATTAAAATGTAGAGGTGTATCCAACTTCTCCACCAAAACAATGTCACCCACGGAGAGCTCAAGGTCGTTCCGGTCAGCCCAATAGTTTGCTGATTGGTAATAATGCTACCAACTAGTGAAAAAGGCATTACCTTTAAGATGAATCTATTCAGACATAGTTTGTGAATCTTGACCTTGACTATGTTACTGTTTGAAGCGGAAACATCCTGGTTAAACGGCACTATCTGACCAAGTGCTAAAGAAAAAGGAGGGCATGGCACTCTTCCAGTAAATTCGGCTTTCGATGCGGTCAAGCCATCTACCTCTGGCTTATGAAAAGGGAAATAAATCTGGACACGGTTCTTGACCGACCTAAATATGGCAGTACCTCTGTGCTTCCAAAAGCGGACCATACGAGAGGTCAGATAGACCGGGCCAATTTTCAACAAATTATTTACATCTTTGGAGAAGAAATTGTAAAATACATTACACTCTAATATGTATATCAAAATGATATAGTTTTAAATTTTAACTTGATGTTTTATGTAATTTTTTATCATTTTAATTAGTTTGTCTTTATTTGTTAATGTTATGATCGCGAATTTCTAAATATGCCGTACAATTTGCTGCGGACGCTCAGCTGTTGATCTTGCTTCTTGTTATACCTATTTGAACTTCTTATGTAATGCCTAAATCGATAAAACCCTGCGGAAACATGAGACAGAATGTACATATTAATTATTATATTGTGAAATCATTGATAGGGCTGTTTTGGATATCTCAACAAAAGAGAGTTGGGATTCGTTACTAACAGGCGTCTCAAAAGTTTC